AGCCATTAAAAGTGTATCATTCTGATGTAGGATGTTGAAAGTGGGTGAGGCCATGTATGTGTTGAGGCAGGGAATAAACAGGAAATCTCTGGAAATGTCTGTGCCTTCCTCTCAATTTTGCTGTGAACCTCAGACTGCTCTGGAAAATATAATCTATTTGTTTTTTAAATCATGGCTCCTGTAAGAGTTCATGAAAGAGTACTTTAAAAATGACCACATATCCCTAACATTGAAATTTTTAAAAATTATTTTCATAAATAAACATACTGTCATTATATTCATTTATAATAGCTCTTTTATCACTAGAGGAGGTACGGACTTTTATTTAAATTGCCCTTCTTTATCTTCTGTTCTGTGACAATCCATTCCAGCCAGTTCTTGGTGCATAAATTTGTTGAACATCTTAGGACTTTTCTTATCTGCTAGAATAAACAGCCCTCTAATAGAAATAATAAAATCTGCCTGCTGGAATTACTACAGGCAGAAAGCAATAATGACTGCAAATGTGAGCAGGAGAGAGGGGGCTTCTGTTTTGAAACAGTGGTCATTGCAAGCCTGTGTCTCCTGCCTTATTTTGAGCTCAATTATAGGCCATCAGAAGGCTGTTGTTGGTTTAATTTCTCCTGTAGCCTGTTTTGTTAGCATGCGGGAGAAAAGAGGACACGTTCCATAAAATGGCATTAATGCACGTCAGGTTTTATGGGGTGTTTTTGCTTTATCAGGTTGAACAGGCACAGAAGCAGGACTCGGAATTGGTGGTGAGTCACAGACTGAACCACAGGGAGAACTCTTAAGGGAACAAATAATGGGTGGAGATGAATCAGGATGCTGTGCGAGGGGTTACTTAACCCAGATTTCTTTTCCATTCTTTGCAGAAGCATTTAATTTTGCATGAAGTTGGAATTGAAGGTTTAGTCTGTGAATGGCCACGCAGGACAAGGACACAGACTCCATTAGCCCCACATGAAAACATTGCCTGTGTTGAAACTGCATGTGGAAAGAAGTTCTGATTTATCTTGAACTGGTCCTCTTTAAATGATAAAGGGGACCAATTCAAGATTTATCTTACCTGGTCCCCTTTAAATGATAATTTTTTTTTCTTTTGCCTTTTTTTTTGTTTTGCTAAATCCATTCTTAATCTAAGCCAGATAGACTCTTGGCCTTATCCAGCTCTTCCTTTCTTCTGTAAAAGTATTTCACAAGGATGCTGGTTTCTGTGGCTGTTTCTGGAACTTTGGGCAGGAGGCTCAAGAAGGCAGGGCTCAGGTGAGCCACCCACGTTCGGAGGCTCCTTCTTTCTTTACACCCATCTCAGTCGTGGGGAAGATGCGTTTGCTTTGTCAGTCACTTGCTATGTCCATACCATCCTCCACTTGTCTGGTGCTGGCTGTGGAGGGACCTAGTAGGATGAATCTCCCTCCTCACACCCCTCAGAAAGTCTTCCTGAACCCTACCATTACCTCTTTCATCAGCTCCCATGCCCACACAATGTGGTGTAAACCCTCCAAACGCATTCAGAGCTGCCCACTGACTGATGGCAGCCGCCCTCCCCTGGACGGCCTCTGGAACACATTTGTGCGTTCTGCCTCCTGGCTGGGGCCATTCCTCCCGCTGAAGTGACCCCTTCTCAGTGCCCAGCCAAACCCTATCTGTCTTTGAAGTTCAGCTCCAGGGACCCCTCCCCTTGGAAGGTTTCCCTGGCCATTCTAGCTAAAAGTGCTTGCTCCTGGCCTGCGTTCAGCACTTTCTGGAGAGGGTGACCACATAATCTATTATCCATGACACTTTTGAGATGAAAGGGAATCCGACTAACATGCTGGGACATCAGGCATAAACCAGGACTGTTTGGGGAAAGCATTCTCAGGTGTCTGTTTCATCTCTCCCGTTTGACTCTAAGCTCCTCAAGGGCAGAAACCATAGCATATACTCCATAGAATTTGTTCTAACTCCAGCACAGGGCCTTGTACGTAGAAGTTACCGATTAATGGAATAAGAAAGATGATGAGTTGATGGGAGAAGGGAGGACAGATAACAGACGGATGGATTGATGCTGGATGGGTGGGTTTCCAACATGCTTAACCTTTTCTCAGAGAATAAGCTAGTTACCTGAGTGAGGAGTGTACTACTTATTTTAAAGCTCCTATATTTATCAGTTAAAAAAAAAAACCCTCTGCCTCTTGTCTGAATTCCCTCAGTTGGCCTCGGTTCTTCCACCCAGCCCCCCAGTTAAATGTGTTTCTCAGCTTCCCTCTGTGGCCCCAGCTGGAGGGCGGACACACCCTGGCCTTCATTTCCATTTGGTTTATTGTGGATTACTCCAGGAGGCAAACAGTTTGCTTCCAGCAGAATGTCTTCCAATAAAGAAAGGAAAGATTCACCATCCAAGAAACAGCCTACTTGTTTGGACTAAACACTAATTGCACTTGCGTCCTAATGGTTCAGTCCGGTCCCAGAAACGCAGGACCTCCTCTCACTTCCAGCATTATCTTATCTCGGGTGCATTTCTTAAACACCAGTAACTTTCCCGATAATCAGGAATGCTCATCAGTGTTTCTGTATTTTTCTAAAGCATAGTTTTCTCTTCTCCTCCCAACCCCTTTCCCCCACCCCCCATTTCAGAAACGAGAAGGAATCCTCCAGTCTCGGCAAATCCAAGAGGAAATAACTGGTAACACAGAGTATGTCAACACCATTGTTGCCAGCGAGTCTGTAATGGAACACAGATGTTTCTCCGAAATTTATCCATTTGCTGATATTTAGTTTTCATTTATTGGGATTGCAGGAGGGATTAGACTTCAGCCAATGATTATAGTTTAGCCTTTTCCATGCATTCAAAACATGCCTCTCAATGCTTAAGGTACAAACTTGGGTGGGGAAGTGGGGAGAGGGAATTAGCAGTGATTGAAAAATTCTAATTTTGTGCCACTCCGGGAAAAAGTGAGCCCAAAAAAAGCCAACCCAGCATGAAATTGTCATGCCATAAACACTGGGTTGAATTTAAATTGTTAACCTTCAAAAGGACATTTTTCCTTCTTTTCTGAATCTATTTGGTCATGTGCCATGACCCAGAAAGCCTCCCTTACCTTAGAGTTGTCTTTTAGTTTGGTATTTTTTTTCCATTTATTTTTAGAAATTGGGATGTTAGAACCTATCAAAAGTTTGCCATGAGGAACAGGAGTTTTGTCCTCAAGCAGGAAAAAGATGGATAGCGTGGGGTGGGTTTGTGATCACGAGCAGAACTGAGCCCTGCCCCCATGCAAAGCCAGGCAGTTAGCTTTCAGCATTTCATGCTCCCCAGACTTTTCTCGGTGTCCCCTTGAACAAGAACAGCATAGTGCAAAGAACAGGGACTGCTAAGCCAACCCAACTTGAATCCAAATCCAGGCTCTGCCACTTAACAGGTGAGTCCCTTAACCTCTCTAACCTCAGTTTCCCCACCCAGAGAGGTAGGGAGGATTTATTGTGGTCACAGCTATGCCTTCCTTCCCTTGCCCTCTGTAGCTGCTGTTCCAGCTTTTCTCCAGCACAGCTGACTTGCACCTTCCAAGCCCAACCAGTCTCTTGGAGGTTCCCTCCCTCTCCCTCCCCAGCCACAGCTGACAGAAGTCCGGGGTACTGCCCATCTAGACCACATTGTGCACATGGCTTAACAAGGACTAATGGGTGTGGGCATTTCAGGCCAAGACTAGGGGCCAGAGATGTAGAGTGGCCCTTCCCAAGATGCCCTGTTTATGGCCTACGGAAACCCCATCAAGCAGCTTCCGTATCATCACAGAGGCCAGTCTTGGTAGCTGAAGGGTCAGCTGATATATAGGGCACACCTTGGCCTTGGTTCTGTGAGGGATGGGAGGGGCCAGGCCTGCTGGGAAAGGAGGAGAATTCCTCACTGTCCCACTGCCTACCACCCCTCCCCGATGCTGGGCTTGCTGTGCCCCCTATTTCACCTCTGGGAAAGAAGACAACAGAGCAGAGAGGAGCATGGCCTGGGAGAAACTCCTGAATCAGGGAGTGTGAAGTTCCAGATTAGCAAACAGTCTCTCAGATGCACATTATGCTTTCTATGGCCCCACTCTCTGCCACAAAGACATAAACATGGGTGCAACATCCTAATAATGACAACACAGTACAGTTTATGGAACACTTTCCTATCTACTGATGTTCATAGTAAACACATGAAGCCATGATTACACCCCCTAAAGCCCCACAGCCCAAGGGTGAGGAAGAGACTGTGCCCTTGGTTTATTAGCACTTAACTCCAAGTTCATTCTTGTTTCCAGGGCAGTGCTTGCAAGTGCTCACTTAGTGCGTGATTGATAGGTGTGCGGATGAATAAACAAATATAATAATCATAATGAGAACCAAAAATATATTTGGAAAAAAAGTCTTCAGCATTTACTATATACTAGGAATTATGCTAAAATATTTCTAGATACTAAATCATTTCATGCTCACAACATCAATTGAAGTATTTACCATAATAATCTTCATTTTAGAGATGAGAGACCTGGTGCCCAGAATGGTTCATTAGCTTGCCTGAGGTCACTGTATTAGTTTGTTTTCACACTGCTGATAAAGACATACCTGAAACTGGGAATGAAAAAAGGTTTAATTGGACTTAGCTGTTCCACATGTCTAGGGAGGCCTCAGAATCATGGCAGGAGGCGAAGGGCTCTTCTCACATGGTAGCAAGAGAAAATGAAGAAGAAGCAAAAGAGGAAACCCTTATAAACCCATCAGATCTCTTGAGAATTATTCACTATCACGAGAATAACACGGGAAAGACCAGCCCCCGTGATTCAATTACATCCCCCTGGGTCCCTCCCACAACATGTGGGAATTCTGGGAGACACAATTCAAGTTGAGATTTGGGTGGGGACACAGTCAAACCATATCAGTCACACAGCAAAAAAATCAGTGCAATTTAAACTTCAGTGATCTGTCTTTAAAGCTTGTGCTCCTGATACTTCAGTGCTTCTCTACCATGAGTGTAGTTCCAGTTCCTGCACACTTTAAGAAAACCTACCCTGGGTCAATGGCAGGTTCATCTTGGTGGGCATTACAGGATGGACAGGAGAGAGGCAAAACTGACCTGCCCACAGCAACCGAGGCAGTAAAATTCCACATTGAGGGGTTGCTTGAGTTCACCCATAAGAATCCTAAGATTTTCTGGTTGGAAATCTAAGGTGAAAAGTAATCCTTTAGGCATCACTATGCCAGGCTTTGCACTACACCCCTGTATCTGTAACATCAGGGGGGAAATGGGTGGTAATGTGGTAAAGTCTTGGTAATGAGAGGCTGTGCAGAATATAGTGCCAATGGAAGAAGGCTTTTTGAGCTCCTCAACCAAGGCAGGTGGGTGGCAGGCAGCATGGGGTGGGCTTCCAGCAGTGATGGAGTAGCCTTTCAGAGGACTGGCCTCTTGTAAGGGACAGCAGAAGAGTCACATTATTTTCTTTCTCTTTTTCCTCCAGGGCTCTTTCCGGGAGGCATGGTAAGTTGCATAAGAAACCTCTGGCACTGGTGGCTGCACTGGGGCTTAATTCTGCAGCATCTGGGAAGAACGAGCTCTAAGCTTGTCACCAGGATATATGTCTGCACCAGCCTGGTGACGTGGCAAATTGGGTTGGGAGGGACAGCTTGCTGGCGGGAAGAAGACTACCTACACCTGCACAGTTGTCTTGAAAGTTATCAGGCTGTTGACCTTGCCATTTATGAAGCACTTTTGTAGCTCTGACATTCATGATAAACACAGGAAGCCACAATTACACCCCGAGACCCCATAGCCCAAGGGTGAGGGAGGAGATTATGCTCTTGGTTTATCCAGCACTTTACTCCAGTTTAGTATTCATTCCAGTACACTACTTGCAAGTGCTCAGTGGGTTATAGGTGTGCAGGTAGATAAACCAATATAATAATCTTAAAGAGAACCGAAAGTGTATTCAGAAAAAAAAAAAAAGTTTTGCACGTTTTCTATATCCTAGGAAGTATGCTAAAATATTTTTAGATATTAAATCATCTAATGCTCAGAACATCCCATTGAAATATCAACTGTAATTATCCTCATTTTAGAGATGAGAGACCTGGAGCCCAGAAAGATTCATTAGCTTGCCCAAGGCTTCTGGATGGGTCCTGGGCATTTTCAGGGCAGTTTTGCTCTAATGCTGTCATGGAAATAAAGGAACACATGTATGAACACAAGGACTGTCCCCTCTCCCCACTCTGTCCAGCCCTTCTAGAAGCTGTCTTCTTCTTCCCTCATCGCAGCTCTCGTCTCTTCCGCTTCTCAGGACTGGGCTTGTTTATGAAGTCCATGAATGTTTAGAGATCACTGTTCCCTTCCTGGTAGGCTCAGATTTACCCATTGGTGCCAGAGTTGGAAAAGGCAGGCCTCAGGGTCTCCCAGCCTCCCAGCCCCAGGCTCACCTCGGAGACCCTTCTCTTTCCCTGAGTCAGATACCTTCCACTGTGTCAACTCTTGGTTCTGAGAACATGGAGGCTGCAGCAAGGAGCATCCCTGCAGGGAGCACGGCTTTGCTACTTTCTATGATCCTGGTATTTACTGTGGGTAATATTTTGAAATATTTCAATCATGCTAAAACATATTCCCTTCAGGAGAACATGTCAGACTTTACAGAACATGTGCATGCTTGTTCTCACCCTTCGTCCTCATGAAAAACCTGAGGGAGGTTTATTTTTAAGATGACATTTTACAGAAGAGGGAACTAAGGCACAAAGAGTAGAAGTGGCCTAGATCTCTTAAGAGGAAGAGCTCATATCCCATCCGTGGCTCCCAGCCCTCTTCTCTGTGCCCTCTGCCAGCTTGTTTGTCTTGGGTCTCCTGTTTTTGAAAATTAGGGGGTGAAACGATTTAATATGTTGGATAACATCCTCCCTCTACAAAGGTTCAGAAACAGCTGAACCATGGCTAAATCAGGATATAATGGAATAGAGTGAAGGGAAATGACTAATCCTGGGTCACACTGTCTGAGAGAGCCCTGAGCCTGCCCCAGCCCAATAATGTACACGCGCATGGACACAGACACAGGCTCCCAGGGTGAGAATCACCCCGGACTTTAGCCCCAGATCACATTCCAGAGTTCCCAGCACAGTCTATACCCCAGAGGCTTCCCATGGATAGTTGACCCTGTTACCTTGAGAGGCGCCTGATTCTGGGACCCCAGGTGGGCTTCCCTGCCAGGGATCAGCTCTGGTGCTCCACACTGTGTTTGCCTCTTTTTCAGAACGTGATGCCTTTGACACCTTGTTCGACCATGCCCCAGACAAGCTGAATGTGGTGAAAAAGGTGGGAAAGGGGTGCCTGGGACGGAGAGAGGGAAGCGAGATGCAGCAAAGCATTGGGAAAACCCATCCCTGCAGCTTGCAAGCTTCCTGTCGGAATGGGTGCCATCACCTAATCTCTGCACACACACGGCTTTCCCCCATGCCATCCTTGTACCTGTCTGATCCTCACTGGATGTCTTACCAGGCCCTTTCCTCTCCATCAGCATAAGCACCCTGTCTTTCCACCAGGCTAACTCCAGCAATCCCAGCCTTCCCTGCTCCTCACAGAATTCCCTGTCTCCCTGGCCCAGGCACCTGCACAAAAGAAGGGACAGGAGGGAGAAACCCAGTGGAATCATTTTATCTCAGCCCCTCACTTTGCCCCGACACCGCTCAGACACTCCTTCTGTTATTCTGCCTCTTATGGCCTCCTTGTTCCTTCCACAGCCCTGAGTTGTGTGGGACTGCAAGGGCTGGAGCCTGTGGCCCTCCCTGTACACTCAAAGACCCTTGCAGAGACAGCTCCTGGGCCCGTAGCTCTTGGCTAGGCCTGATCCTGTGCTTTCACCCTGATCCTCACCTTCACGGGAGTCATGGGGTAGCCACAGGACTCCTGCACTAGTGCGAGTCCCCAGCTCAAGGCCTGCTCTGCTTCTCTGTAGACACTCATCACTTTTGTGAATAAGCACCTGAATAAACTGAACCTGGAGGTCACAGAACTGGAAACCCAGGTAAGTGACAGCCCCCAGCACAGGTGGAGGCAGGCCCTGCCCTGCAGCCCCTGTTCTACGTGGCCCACCACACATGGCCAGGAGGGCTTTTCCAGCCCAGCGGGATGAGGGCATGGGAATCTGTTAATCTGTTCCACTCCGAAGGTTGAACTGCATCTCTGTGGATTTTTTCCAAGGTTTTATTGTGAAAAGTTACAAGAATGAATACTCATACTCTTCACCTGGATGCACCAACTGTTAATATTCGGCCACGCCTCTCTCTTTCTCTGCACCCCTAAATGCTTGAGCATACGCCTCTCAAGAACAAGCACATTCTCAGATAACCGCAATATAGTTATCAAAGGCAGGCAGTTTTAACATAATTCAATACATTAATCTGTTTCGATTGAATCATATGAAATTGCTGACATTCGACTGTGTTGTTGTTTTGAGACAGTGTCACTCTTGTTGCCCAGGCTGGAGTGCAATGGCACAATCTCAGCTCACTACAACTTCTCCCTCCCGGGTTCAAGCAATTTGATTCTCCCGCCTCAGCCTCCCAAGTAGCTGAAATTACAGGCATGCACCACCACGCCTGGCTAATTTTTTGTATTTAATAGAGACAGGGTTTCACCATGCTGGTCAGGCTAGTCTCAAACTCCTGACCTCAGGTGATCCTCCCACCTCGGCCTCCCAAGGCTGAGATTCCAGGCGTGAGCCACTGCACCTGGCCTCCTACTTTTAACCTACTAAAATGGCAACATCATATAGTGGGAAAACACTCTGTTCAGATTTTGCCAGTTCTCCCAGTGTGCTCACATGCTGCATTTACTTGTCACATCTCTTTACTCTCTTTAATGTAGAACGACTCCTTGGCCTTTCTTGTCATGGCATTGACACCTTTAGAAGCATTCAGGCCAGTTGGTTTATAGACTGCCTTTTCCCCTCATATTAGATTCAGGTCATGCATTTTCATTAAGAGCACTCCCCAAGTAAGGCTGTGTTCTTCCCAGGGCATCACAGGAGGAGGCACTCTGTCCATTATCCCCATTGCTAGTGACAACTTGGATTATTTGGTTAGGGTGGTATTCACCAGATTTCCCTACTATAAAGTTATTTTTCCTCCCTTTATACTTAACTAATCTTTATTGGGAAGATACTTTGAGACTGATGAATCCTGCTTCTCCACCCCCTTTCATTTTTGGTGAACTTCTGCCTTGTGCTTCTCTTTCAATCATCTGGGTACCTCCTTTTATTTTAAAGGCAAATGCCAGTCTGTCGCTGAGCTCCACCTGAGTGTATCTAGACTGTGAAATCAGCTTCATGCACTCTTGTAGGAAATAAAGAACGTTCTAGAAAAGTGACGCTTCCTTGAGTGAGCTGCAATGGGCTCAGGGCAGGGAGTGCTATTACAGGGGTGACTGCCAAGCTCTTTGGGTCCCTTCAGTTTGATCTGCTATTCCTACCAAGTCAGCAGAACCAGCCATGGGAGGTGGGGAGCAGTCTAAGCCTGGCACTCAGAGCTGTGAGTGACACCAACCCTAACCACAGATTGGATGTTTTTACTCCTAACTCCATCTCACCATAGCTGGAATGAAGCCTAGTTGCTCAGCTCCCACCAGAAGGGCCTTGATTTTGACAGACTCTGGGGTCTGCTCTCCTATGTCCACCTAGGGTGAGTCATGCTCAGGCCCTTCCCACCTGAGTTGCAGGCCTGATGGATGGAAGCTGGGAGGAGCTACCCTTTTGTTTTTGAGACAGGGTCTTACTCCTGTCATCCAGGCTGGAACGCAGTGGCACGATCACGGCTCACTACATCCTTGACTTCCCAGGTTCAGGTGATCCTCCCACCCACCGCCACCCCCCCAGCCTCCTAAGCAGCTGGGACTACAGGCGTGCACCATCACACCCAGCTAATTTTTTTGTATTTTTAGTAAAGACAGGGTTTCACCATGTTGCCCAGGCTGGTCTTGAACTCCTGCTGAGCTCTAGCAATCTGCCCGCCTCAGCCTCCCAAAGTGCTGCGATTATAGGCATGAACCACTGCACTCAGCCAGGAGCTGCCTTTAAGGCAAGCCCAAGCTCGGGGTCTTCTGCCTTTAATGAAGGCTGAGCCACAGGCTGGCCAGCTGGCTACTGGAAAAGCTCTCTGAGCAGACTCTGGGCTCCTAAGGTGATTCCAAGAAATTTGGCCTTCTATGAACCCTAGCTGCTGTTTACACTCACAAACATTTGGTGGCCCAGCCTCCTTTGAAAGGGTTCTAGAACGTCAGATGTGCATCTGGCCTCTGTGTCTTTGCTCAGTCTATCCCCCACGCCTGGAACCCCTACTCCTCCCAAGGTCCATCGTCCCGGCCTCCACAAGCCTGCCCTGAGCGCTCAGTGTATGCCTACCTCACCCAGCCCTGAGCAGAAGACCAGCAGCCTCCACAATTAGCCGAGGACTCTCCGGTCCCTTGGGCCTGGTTTCACAACCCATCTGGCCTCTTCTACCCAGGAAGGGACCGGGCTCCAAGCCTCTTGCCAGGGCCCTCAACACATAGTTCTGCTTTTGCCAGCAAGAGCCAGTAAGTCATGTCCCGATTGCTTTATTGTTTTCCCAGACAGTAATGGCAATAGTTAATATTTATTCAATGCTGCACACTAAGCAGGTTACAGGCCCTCTCCACGTATTAACTGGCTTGGTCCTCATGATAACTCTGTGACGTAAATACTATAGTATTACCATCCCTGTTTCACAGATGAGAGATGTGATTACAGAGAAGTGACATAACTTGCCTAAGGCACACAGCTAGGTGAGAGAGCTGGAATTTGCACTGGGGAGGCCGGGCCTCAGAGCCCACGTTCATAACAGCTACACTCTGCTGCTGTAATATCGAAGAGAGATGGGAGAAGGAAGAGTGCCAGGCCTATGCGACACTAGGCCTTTCTCTGTTCGGAAAGCACAGATCACCCCAGGAGCCTCATGCCATTCACTGTGAACATCACCTCCCCCTCCTCCCTCTGCCCCACTCTAGTCAGTCTTGCTCATCCTCAGCCCTCCACACAGACGCTGTCCCCTCCAGAAGACTCCTCTGATGCCTTCGGTGCTTATGGGTGACTTTTCTCAACCCCACTCAAGCCACCGTGCTTCCTTCCATCAGAGCAGCTGTGCATTGCCCCCACATGTTTCCCTATTAGACTGTCCACTCCTCCCGGGCAGGAGCCACTCTGACCCCTCCATGCTCTGGCCCCCATGCCTAGACAGGGAGTTGGTACACAGCCTCTGCTCAGTAAATACTGGGTCAGCTGAGATCAGAGCCATGGGCTTGTGGCTCCTGTGCTGGGCCAGCCAGACGTGGGGCAGAGCGGACCTCCTTGTCTCACGCCACCTCCCCTATCCCCCAGCTAGCACCCTGCCTGGAGTGGTAGGCTTCAGGTGGCATAGCACAGAAGCTGATGGGCCCCTGGATGGGAATTGGCTGGGAGGCTGAGGGGCCAGTGCCATCAGCTGGCTCTCCCTCCAGTTTGCAGATGGGGTGTACCTGGTGCTGCTCATGGGGCTCCTGGAGGGCTACTTTGTGCCCCTGCACAGCTTCTTCCTGACCCCGGACAGCTTCGAACAGAAGGTAAGAAGGAGGACATCAAGGGAGGCCCTCTAGCCCACATCCCCAGCTCATCTGCCCACACCCACACTGAGGCTATCCAGAAAAAGGCAGAACTTCCCCTCTGCCCAAGGTCATCAGTGCCTGGAGGTGGGCCCATTATGATAAGAGCTGAGCTGGGAAGGAGCTACCTGCAGACCACTGGGCATCCCTGACTGCCTCTCCCTTACCCTGAAGCTTGGCCCTGGTCCCCTGCCCTGTGTTCCTGTCAAGTGCCCCAGCCCTGACTCATCTCTTCCCAGAGGTGACAAGGAAAGTAACTGTGAAGCTGGTCATACCTGAGGCTCACACTTAGCCTGGTTCTGATGGCCTCTCCTAGGCTGCCACATCCTTCTCACTACACAAAGGCATTTGGTCCACAGCAGAAAGCCTGCTCTGCCTGTTGAATGTGTCCTGCCATCTGATTCTTCCAAACGTGTGCACTGACACCCCAGTTTGAAGTCCTGGCAGTTTACACAGGAACACAGTAGGATATGAAGAGGGTTTTGAGCTTCTCCAATAGCAAGTTAGGATCAGCTAGCTCACTCTCCTTGTGGCCTGCCCATTTTGGTAGCCATATTTTTTCCTTGAAATTAGTTCAGCCTCTGCCCCTCTAGCTACAGTGCTGGGCTCCTTCATTTCCCGGGGTCAGGTCCCAGGGCTCCTGGGTGTGCAATGGCGCATGCTCTATGCATTTCTCTTGCCAGGTCTTGAATGTCTCCTTTGCCTTTGAGCTCATGCAAGATGGAGGGTTGGAAAAGCCAAAACCACGGCCAGAAGGTACTTTGCTCTTTCCTGGGTTTGTGACAGCAGAATGAGACCCTCTACCTGCATGCAAGTACTCAGATTTTGTAACAGAGGGAAGCATTTTCTGAAGCCCTCACTGCTGGGGAAGGTGGGGCTTGGTGCAGCTGCTCAGTCTTGGAGACCCTTTGTGAGATGCCAACTGCACAGCCAGGGGAAGAAAAGAATCTGAAATCCCACACATGCCGTGCACATGGGATTGCAGGGATCGGGGCCCGAGCAGAAGGGCTGCTGCAGGATCTGTCCTGTGCCCGATTTCCAGGTTTTTCTGTCCCTGCACAGGGTGCTGACCTGCCAAAGAGCTGTGTCCCTGCCAGTCAGGGTGAAGGTACAGCACAGACAGTTCTGTGCTGAGCAAAACTGCTTCTACTATCCTGACAGAAGCAGAGCTCCACCTGCTCTGACTCTGCCTGAGAATAGGGCTTGATATGTGGGGTTTGGGTTGTAAACATAAGACTGGGAAAATGCAGAAGGAACAAGTGCTCCTGCAGCCTTGCAAACTCATGCTAGGAGCGTGCGATGCATTTGGGAGCAGAGGAGGCATGCTTATCCTAGCAGTCTTCTTGGTACAGATGTTTGCTTTCTGCCCCTTACTGACTGAAGTATTCCATGTCACCAGAGCTGGTGAGTCACCACTGTTTTGCCGATAATCTTCTGCATATGTCCCATGAGAACATTGAGAATGCCACTTGTGGCCCTTTTGCTTACACTTTCCTGGTAGTTTACAGGCAAGTGGATGAGTAAGGATAGTGGGCTTTCATGCCCCCTTGCTGCCTCTGCTCTGAGCTCCTCTATCCAAACCCCAACCTAGTGGGGGCCATGCCCTGGTCTAGTGGGCCTGAGACTCTGGACATCATGATATACCAAGAGGGGTAAGGCCATCCCAAACCTCAAGGCGCTGGCAGCCAACCAGGGAAGAGAAAAGTTGCAGCCAGTTAGCAAAATGAAACGACAGTCTTGGGAACTGCTGTAAAAGAGGTACAAGGAAGAGGCTGTGAGAACTGAGGAGGTGATACCACTTCTGTCTTGAGGGAGGAAGAGGTTGCTGGAGATGGTGACACTGGGGCTAAACTATAAGGACCAGGTAGAGCTTTGGTGTATAGAGACTGGGAGAGAGGTACACACATCCCAGAAAGAATGATGGCATGAGCAAAAGTTCCCCCTGGGGAAGAATGGGGACCCTGTCTCATGACTTCTTCCAGATTCAGCATCTCTTGACTCTAGCCAACATCAAACCCTGTTCTCATTTATTACCACCTTGTCCTAAGCCCCTGGTCAACTGAGAACTGGCAGAGGACCTCTGGCAAGGCTGGTGTCCCTCTGGGGCTCTCTCTTTGGCAAGGCCACCCCAGCCTTCCAAATGCCATTGAGAATGATGGACTCTTCGTGTTCTGTGGGCAGGTGATGCGTGCCGTGCTTCTGGGTGGACAGGCACAGTGGGAAAGTTTTGACCACCATTTTGCTTCCATGTTCTTAAACTGCTTAATATGAAACTTCCTGGTTACAGACTGTAAGTACTTCTAATATTTTAGAATTGGGATATTTCTTTCCCTTGGGACAGATAATTTTCCCATTGTAAATCAATCTATAGGAATATTTTGGAATATAGGTGATATTTTTATGCAGTTATTAAGCTGAATATGAAACTGACAGATGTGAATGGAAAAACACGTGTTTTATTTGTTATGACACAGGGCATCATGCCCATGCTGCAAATTTCCAGTACGTAAAGCGGAATGGAAATGGCATTTTCTGAAATTGGACTTTGTGAGACATATATCCCAGCGTTCCCTCTGGTTTTTATGCTTCTACCTGGAAAGTGAGATTCGGAAGTAAATGATGCAGACATTTCAAAGGCCGCCAATGTGGGTAACTCTTTAAGGACGTTTCAAAATCAAACTGGTTGTGGTGGAGGCATTTTTCATGACAAAATATTTTTAAGGTCAGGAAAATGCATTCTCTGCCATGCTGTTTAACACTTAAAGCTCTGTTGTGCCCTAAAATCCCCCAGAAACTGGGTTTCTAGCTGAGATGACTTGCTGGCCAAGCTTCATGACCTTTTAGTACCTCAGTTAGTGTAAGCCAAGGGTTAGCATCAAGTTCATAACCAGTGGAGCACTTGAAATAATAGCCAAGCATGGAAGCTCACACCTGTAATCCCAACACTTGGGAAGGCCAAGGCAGGCAGATGGCTTGAGCTTAGGAGTTTGAGACCAGCCTGGGCAACACAGTGAGACCCCATCTGTACAAAAAAATTAGCCAAGTGTGGTGGTGCATGCCTGTGGTCCCAGCTCCTTGGGAGGCCATGGGGAAGGGATCACTTGAGTCTGGGAGGCGGAAGTTGCAGTGAGCCAAGATTGGACCACTGCACTCTAGCCTGGACAACAAAGTGAGACCCTGTCTCAAAAAAAAGAAAATAAAAAGAAATATTGTCATGAAACTAGCAGCTTTTTATTTAGGGCATTGCGCCACATGTCTTCAAATGCACATGTCACCCTGTTATCACCCTTCAAGTAGACTCATCATCAAATATGGTTAAGAACCCAGAATAACAGGCAGGCAGGGACTCAGGAGACATCTAGTACCAGGCAGGATTGAAGTCTATAGGACTAAATATCTAAAATTTAAGCAGTCTCATACCTGGGACTAGATGGCAAGCAATGCTGTAAAGCCAGGCAGGTGATGGCAGCTTAGTTCCGGGTGATCACTTCATTTGGGGAAGACTTGGTCAGTGGCTGATAACATGGAAAATGTTCAACTCCCCTTCCCCACTCCTCTAGGCAATAGTGTGCAGAAGCCGACAGTGACAAACATTTAAAACTCTAATCATACCAAGTGTCAGCAAAGATGTGGAGCAACAGAAACTGCTGGTGTTCTAAATTGATAGAACCATTTTATTTTTATTCAGTCCTTATTTGGCTGAAAGTAGAAAACAGTTCATTCTCATCTAACGCAGTTTAATATGCTATACAATAATGTGGTAGACATAGTTGTAATACACTATAAAATATAACATGGTAGACACTCTCTCCACCCCCTGCCAAAAATGTCTAGGTCCTAACCCTCAGAACCTGTTCGTGTGTATCTTACATGGCAAAAGGGGCTTTGCAGATGTGATGAAACTTAGGGTCTGGAGATGATGACATTATCTAGGTGGTCCCAACGTCATCACAGGGGTCCTTATTATATGTGGAAGAGGGTGTCAGGAGTGTCAGGGTGATGTAGCATAGAAAGGCTCACCTGACCATTGCTGACTTTGGGGACGGAAGAGGGCTATGAGCCAGAGAATGCAGGCAACCCCAGAGGGTTACAACATGAGTAAACTGCCTTATGGCCACCTCACATTCTGTCCCCCACTTGGAAAGAGCAAGTGTAAGGATCTTCATTAGAGCCTCCAGAAAAAAATGCAGCTGTGCTGACATCTGGATTTTATCTCAGTGAGACTGAGGCTTTTGATTTCCAGAATTCAGAGACAATAAATACGTGTGGTTTTTAGGCCACAAAATGCATGCTAATTTACTGCGGCAGTAATAGGAAGTTAGCACACTCCTTGACCTAGCAATTCCACCCATACGTATACATATCCACACACCAGGAGACAAGCCCAAGAATACCCCTGATAGCATAGGCTGGAGCGAACGTCCCCAGCAGACTGCCTGTGTAAACTGGATTCATATCATGGACTATAATACAACCATGACAATAAAAAAGACTGAACTGAGAAGTCAGGGAAGGAGCTTCTAGTTACTACAGCGTGAAGAGATCAGTAACTGTTCTCTGCAGAAAAGCAAGTGTAAAACTGGACAAAATGATCAAAAACAATGATTTTGAAGCACTGAAAAACTACCAGAGGTAGACAATAAATCAGGAAGCTTAATTTTTTTTTTTTTTTTTTTTTGAGACTGAGTTTCGCTCTTGTCACCCAGGCTGGAGTACAATGGCACCATCTTGGCTCACTGCAACCTTCCCCTCCCAGGTTCAAGCCATTCTCCTGCCTCAGCCTTCCAAGTAGCTGGGATGACAGGCTGCCACCACCACGCCCAGCTAAGTTTTGTATTTTTAGTAGAGATGGGGTTTCTACATGTTGGCCAGGCCAGTCTTGAACGCCTGACCTCAGGTGATCCACCAGGCTCGGCAACCCAAAATGCTGAGATTACAGACGGGAGCCACCGCGCCTGGCCAAGAAGCTTTATTCTTGAACAATTATAGAAATATAGTTGGATAATCATAACTATGCTTCAATAAAACTGTTAAAAAACATGCAGCTCATGTAACAACATAGATGAATCCTGTGAAATATGCAAAGAGGCAACAATAGAATCTACTGTTCAAGGGCACGGGTTGATGATAGGACTTGTAAGAAAACCAAGGAGGTATAGGGCCGGGCACAGTGTCTCACATCTGTAATCCCAGCACTTTGGGAGACCAAGGCAGGCAGATCACCTGAGGTCAGGAGTTCAACACCAGCCTGACAAACATGAAGAAACCCTGTCTCTACTAAAAATACAAAAAGTTAGCCAGGCATGGTGGCACATGCCTGTAATCCCAGCTACTCGGGAGGCTGAGGCAGAAGAATTGCTTGAACCTGGGAGGCGGAGGCTGTGGTGAGCTGAGATCACGCTATTGCCTTCCTGCCTGGGCAATAAGAGCAAAACTCCGTCTTGAGAAAAAGAAAAAAGAAGCAGAAAGTAATCATAAGCGTCAGCACAGTGGTTATCTCTGCGGAATGGGAGAGGGAATGTAGAAGGAGAGGGGTGCTTCTAGGCTACTAACAATGTTTTATTTTTGACATGAGCAGGAGTTCATTTTCAAATATTTAAAACAGTACATATATGTTGCATGTTTTTTTTCTGTCATATTTAAAAAAGTTTTTTAGTGACTTAAAAGTTTTTTAAAATAACTAAAGCAAATGGCAAATTCACCACCAGATAGGGCAGTGGGTTACCACTAAAAGCAGCATCTGTACAGCATGGATC